GCTGTGGCCGCAGCTGCAGTGGCTCTCTCCCTCTGCCGCCTGTTTGTCACCTGCACCCGGCCGGCCCTGCACCTGCGGCTCTGCAATCGGCGGCTGCTCGGTCCTCAAGGGGGTCCTCAGAAGGACCCAACGGGCTGCCCTCTACACAGCGCTTGATTACCGGGCCGCGTCTGCCTGATCCAGCCAGCCAGATCGCATACCGAGGAGATCCGCGCTGGCTGTACCAGGTAGACGCGGCATGTTAGAGGGCCCCCTGCTGGAGCCTCCCGAGCATCTCCTTGAGGAGCCATTCAAAGAGCCGCGTCGGATGCGGAGGGCGGGCGGCCGGGTGCAGGTGGCAGCGGCCGGAGGTCAAGGGGCCGTTCGCGGTGGCATCAGAGAGGCCCGGGGGGCAATTGCCACCCTGCTCCCCGGCCCAGTCCGCCCCTGCCCAGAGTTCTACTTTAAAATAGAAATGGGTCAATGCCTAAAATACAAATGTTGTTGCTGGTGTACAGCTTGTAGAATTGTAGAGATGAATATAAGTATACAGTGAGGGGAATTTATCAAAACTGGAGCAGACAGAATCTGGAGCAGTTGCTCATAGTAACCAATTAGCTTCTCTCTTCGGTTTTGTTCAGTTAAAATTTGAAAATAAAGAGAGAAGCTGATTGGTTGCCATGCACAGTTGCTCCACATTTTGTCTGCTCCAGTTTTGATAAATGCCCCTCTGTGTGTTTACTGCTTTACCTGCTGAAGGATTTGGTAATCTGTTTAGCAAATCTTGTGATTTACACAAAGGGCCGGCCTTAGGCCTTTAGGGGCTCTGTGCAAGAAAGCTTTACAGTGCCCCTCAGTGACCACACCCCTCAGTGGCCACGACCATTTCCGGGCCAGTCCCCAGACACACTGGTAGCACACCTTGATTTTCTGTGTCTGTGTGTTTGTGGAGACACATACAGCTTACTAGCACACACAAGGGTGACTGCATAGCACTCTGCTTGAGAAAGGTTGAGTCACTCTAAAACAGGAAGTCAGGACCAATGCTCAGGGGGCCAGCTGATTCTGCAGGAAACTAAAAAAATGAAACATCAAGGAGAAGCATTCATTGTAAGTGATTTAATCAGCATTTGAAATAGCTTAAACTCTTTTTTTTAACTTTAATATCAATGTATGAGTTGCTTTTTGGCATTAGGTTGAATTTGCAGTATTGGGCATAGCTAAGTGCATCTAAACCCAATAACAAAAATTTATATATTCCAGCTTACCAGTCCTTTGATGTGGTGGCTGCATTCATTTTACTTTATAGTTTTTATTCTGACTCCGATTGCTGCATTAGAGATGAATCCCTTGCTGAGACCTCTACGCCTGGCCTGTATAAGCAGATATACTGTAATCACTGCGGACAATCCTTATCAGATAGCTGAACGCACCAAATACCTTTTCATCCACAAAGTAGACAACAGGATACAGCAGATGAATGAATAGACGGTATTTGAAGGTCAAGGATGATAATATTTCCAAGCTATCATGTACATGTGGTCCTGCTATTGGCAGCCATGACACAAAACAACTACATGAAGAAGAAGGGCGGTACATTACACACAAGAGGAGGAAATGCAGACAAACCCAAAACACCCACAAGATAGCAGGATAATAATCAGCTATACTAATACCACAGATAATGGCTTTAGGAAGATAGCTATATAAATTCTCATTTCACATTTGTATGAACACCAACTATGACTATGAATTGTGTTATATCCTACAACAGCAACAGCACAGTTCTACTTTACTTTACTAATAAAAATGTGTCTTATTTTTGTGCATCATTTGACTGTAGATCCTCAAATCATCTCTGAATTGGTGCTGACACTGTCCTTCCTTCTTGAGGGAGGCTACTTTTGTTCCCCATGGTCCCTGTGTGTCTTGTAAAGTAGCCACCACTTAGTAAATTAAACATGAGATTGTAGCATTTGGAAACAATGAAAATGTTCTGTGCGCTGTAAAATGCCTTCATGATGCGTGTAGTAAGTTTTAGGTGGAAGAGTCATTAGACTGGGTATAATACCTCACAGCCTCAACAGCCATTACTCAAATGGCTTTATTGTTCATTTATTCTTTATTGCTTATTCTTTATTGTTTCTGTGTCCATGCCTGGTATAATTAAGAGATCTCACATGTCAACTTTCTAGGGTGGGTTGCACCAGTTTTATTGTCAGTTTGTTAAATGGCATTTATATGGAATTGTAAGACTTATCCCATATACTTTTTTTTTCTTCTTTTCATCATAGGAACATACATATATACACTGAATGGCAGTGATCCAGAAGGCTATCCAGTGGTGTACGGTCTCACCTTTCCACCAGGATCAAAAAGTTATTTTTTAGTTGACTCAATCAATGGAAATGTTACATTAAAGGAAGAACTTGACAGAGAGGTAATTATATAAGTATTGAAGTGGAGTTCAGAGTTTTGGGAATTAATTTGCATTGCTTTAGCACTGTTATCATTACAGCTACATTGTTATTGAATATAATCATACTATTTCATGCATTCACTAATGCACTGATGAAGCTTAGTAAACTTGAAACATCTGTATGCAATCTGAGGAAATGCCTCTATATTTTAGGCTGTACCTGTGCTTTAAACTACTGGTTAAACCACAAGTGGCCATTGGGACACAATGGAATGATTTGTATTGCTCACCCAACTTCCCTGCGCTCCCCCCATCCCAAATTAAAAAATATCTAGCATACATAACTTAAATCAAGGTGTCTTCCAGCCTGTCACAGGATGAGTGGGGTCCTTTCCCTTCTTCTCTGGTGTTGGTGGTCCTCTCCGCTTGATAGAACAGCTTTTACATTATGATATAAACCAATTGAGGTGGTCGAAGTTGGGATTTCTCCACATTGATCAGCCAGCCTAACTTCTGTAAATGGGCGATGGCCAAATCCAAGTTCCTCTAAAGAGCCTCCTGAAAATGTCCGAAGAAAAGTAGGTCATCCAAATATGGGTTGAACTCTATCCCCGGATGTCTCAATGCTGCTAGCACTTCCACCAGAACCATCGTGAAGACTCTGGGCGCAGATAAGAGACCAAAGGGGAGAACCTTGCATTGGTAGTGTGCAATCCCCTGAGGTCCTCTGATAGCAAACCTAAGAACATTTGGGACTGATCCCTGATTGGTATGTGACGGTAAGCGTCTTTGTGGTGTACTGTGGCCAGAAAAACATTGGGGGACAACAAATTCCTCACTGAGTAAATTGACCCCATGTGGAATCTTTTGTATCGGACAACTTTGTTCAATGGCTTCGGGTTCAGAATCATTCTGAATTTCCCTCAAGGCTTCCTCCTTAAAAAAAGGTGAGAGTGACATCCCTGGCCCATGTTCTGCCTCTGGCACCGGGCATATAACCCTCTGGTCCAGAAGATTCTGCAAGGCAACCACCGTAATTTGAGCTTTCACTGGATTCTTCGAAAGCTGCGTGATCAAAAATCTCACAGGAGCCGGTTTCAACAGTTGTGTTCTATAGCCTGACTGAATCAGGTCCAGAATAAATCTGTTGGATGTCATTTCTCATCACTGAGGGAGGAACCCCCTGAGTCTTCCTCCTACCAAGGCTGGGTTGTCATTGGGGTTTGGCTGGGGGTAAAGAGAAAACCACTCTTTCCCTTCCCCCTTCTTAAATGCCCAATTCTTCCCCTGTTCCTGCTTTTTTTCCCCCTCTTGTTCGCTTGGGGGTGCTGGCCCCGAAAAAACTTCCTGGGTTGCTTGTTTGGAAGGGGAATCCCCTTCTTATTGTCTGATGATCTGTCCAAGACCGCTTCCAGCTCTTGGCCAAACAGTAGTTCACCTCTGAAAGACAAGCCACACAGTTTGTTCTTAGAAGAAAAATCCCCAGACCAAGTCTTCAACCATAGAGCTCTACGTGAAGAGTTGATTAAGGCTGAGGTACGGGCAGAAAACTTGATGGCCTCCTCTGAGGCGTCTGCAATGTAAGCAATCACCTTCCAAATGGGAATGAAGCTGAGCTAGCCAAACATCCAGAATCCTGGCTATACAAGTAGTGACCAAAGCTGATTTAAACCCCGCTGCTGCTGCTTCCCTGGTCTTTTTAAAAAGTTAATCTGCTTTTTTGTCCATGGGTTCCTTCAAGGCCCCCATGTCCTCAAAAGACAAGTCAGATTTGATCCTTGCAACATCCAACGCGCGAGGCTCCGTTCCGGCCGCCATCCCCACACCAGTGAGGACCGGACTCTCTGGCCCCCGAGGCAGAAAGATACCTAGAAGCTCTCCCCTCTCCAGGCTGACAGAAACCAAAGGTAAGTCTGGCTGCAGCCGGTAGGACAGGCGAACTGTAGATGCCCTGTGAAGTCTGTCCGCTTGGCAGGAAGAGGGTGATGCCAGGCAGCATTTTTTAGGCTGCTCACCTGTCCCTACCAACAGGCAGGAACTGTCCCAGATGCCTAGGCAGGAAAAAAAAACATGCCCAGAAAAAAATGGCATGCGTAGGCTGGTAAAGGGAAAAACTCAACTGGAGTCGTTGCATGCAGGAGGAAGATTGCCACTTTTGAAAAAAGGGAAATCTCGGGGCGAATTCTCAGGACAGGATGGGGTCTGCCCTGGGAAGCTGCTCCAGTAATCCCCCAGGATCGCTGACTCTATAGACGAGGATACTTTGCGCAGTAAGCCCCTGCAACTAGCACGCAGGCCTATGCAGAAAATAACAAACATTGCGATGCACCTGATAGGCCGGAGGAAACACAAATAGCTGAGGCTGTGTGGTATGTGAGGCTGCACATACACTGTGCGGAGAGCAGAGCTGAGGGAAGGGCATTCAGTAAGGCTGGGTTCACACCTAGGCGTATCGAATATGCGCAATTGTCACGCGTTTCGTGCCGCGTGTTTTTAGCGCGATTCGCGGTAAAAAAAAACATGCGACAAACACCTGTTTCCGAGGGCTACCTGGCTGTATCCCAATGGATACGCACGGCAAATACGCCCCAAAGAAGCTCCTGTACTTCTTTGGGCGTTTTGCAGCGCGTTCCTACGTGCTGTAAAACGCCCAGGTGGGAACCATGCCCGTAGGCAATCATTGGTTTTCACATGTTGAGCGTTTTACAGAGCGTAGGAACGTGCTGTAAAACGCCCAGGTGTGAACCAGGCCTAAAGCCCCATCAACTACAGGCTGCCTACAGAAAACTAGGGGGGGAGGGGGTGGGTAAAAGCCCAGTCACTCTACAGAAGGAGAGAGAGCAGCAGTGACTGGTCTATATTACAGGAAGATAAAGTTTGACTCTGGATTATGGCACAGATCGGAAAATACACAATGAACGCCAAGGTTCAAGTAAGAATACACATGCTTCTTTTTTTTACACAGTATTTGCATATCCCAAAGTTCAACTTTAAAATAAATATTAAACTATCAGAAAAGTTACTTTCATTAGAGTTTGTAGGAAAAATTGTAGTTTAAGAGATCCTCTCACCACCTGTGATGTGAGCAGTTGGGTTTTTCAGGGAGAAGTTCCAGACAAGAATTTTTTAATAGGTTCCATACTGTTCCTGGAATTTTATACAAATGATCCTCTTTTATATACTGTAGCTTAGCAGGATTAGCGGATTTAAAGACTTGACTACTTTGTTATAGATGCATATAAACAGAATTTGTTATTTATTTCTTAAAGTGTGATGTTCTGAAATATTTAGAAAAGGATCACATGATGAAAACCCAAACTTTAGTATTTTCAAAGGAAGAGGTTAGCAAAGGCATAGGCCCCCTAAAAACATATGGCAGTTTAAAAAGGTACATTCAATCAACTGCTATTCAACTACAGTATTACTTTATACAGTACATCTAATAGGTTAGTAGAACTGGCATATTCCTCTGCTTACCTCTTTCTGAAAATTATAGTTGATTGACTGTTATGATAACCCACTACCTTTGATACTGTGTATTCTGAGTCACTAACCTGAACAAGTACACAGCTCAAGAAAGTCAAAGATGTCCTTAATTGTTCCAGGTCAGTGATGACACACTAGCTTTAGTACATTCTTTTGAGTCATGATCCTAACAGCAGAAATTTAGAGAAGTTCCCAATAGTTCCAGGTCAGTGACTTGGGGACTAACTCCATGTCTCTGACCATGTTTAATGTTACACATATATTCAGGATGTAACATGAAACATGTCACACCCACAGCCCCACACCCCCAAAATGGCCCCCCTCTTACCAGGATCCCGGGGTTCTTCCCAGCAGGATTCTGTATATATTTGAAATTGGCCAGGCTATGTGTGGCTCCACCTACACAGCCGCATCATCCAATCACAAATCCTGTGACCGAATCTGTAAACGGAGAGATCACAAGTCTCGGTTGAAGATGCAACAGGGGACCTTGTAGTTTTCAGTGGAGTGCAAGTGCGGTCATGTCGCCTTACTTGTAGTCCATTGACACTTCCTTCTGTCCCTGTAACTGAACGTCTGTACATTGGTACAGACCTGGGGCTGGAGTCTGCAGGAGCCAGAACATTGTACCCACTATTCCACTGATTGCAGCTGCAATGATTTGCACATGTTTTCAGTTAGTAATGTGCGTGCATTTGTTTTTTGTTTTAAAAGGTGCACATTGCCTTTAATGTCCTGAAGCCAATGGGTCAGTATGACAATTAAACAACTGGCTTTTTCAGAAAGATTGGTTTAACAGTGGCAGCCCCTATTGTTTCTCGCATGAGAGGTTGCTTTTAACATGAAGCAACGGTTTACATTTAATAGAATTTACTGTATATATTAGCAAATATATTTGTAATTTAATATAATAAAAAGTATCTTTCCTTTTCAGTCTGTGTCCATCTGTTAATTCATGAAACTGTCAAAGTAAAAATCTGTATTCTGTTTTTTTATTATGGGAACAGACTTTATTATGGGAACAGACTTCAGTTGTGTACCTAAAGCACATCCAAATCTAAAACCAAAAATTTAATATTATTTACCAGTCTTTGAATGTGCTGGCTGTATTAGTTTTCTTTTTTTCCAGGCTTTTTTCCCTTATCTTCAACTGGTAGTGCACAATACACTTGTGCACAATACACTTCCTGCTTTAAAGTGGCTACATTCACTTCTTCACTTTATCTATGGAGGGAGTAATGGTTGTCACCCAGGCTCCTTAAAGAAGAACTGTGGGCAAAATATAACTTAACCCTTGCAGTGGGGCTACCACCCTGCAGGGCAAGGGTTAAGTGCTTGTTTTCGTCCAAGGTTTAAAATAACAAAGATATACTCACCAAAACCTCTGTCCCACCTGGCTGCTAGACTGGTCCATGCAGCCTCTCTCCCCGTCCGCTCTGGTGGTCTAAGGACCTGTGACGTCATCATATAGTGTATTAGACCGGAGAACGCTGAGGGACAGTCTATTGGCGGAGCGGTGGGGTAGAAAAGCTACAGGGAGCGGTCTAGCAGTCAGGTGGGACCAAGGTTTAAATGAGTATATTGTTGTTATATTAGAACCTAGACCAAAATGAGCACTTTACCCTTGCTTTGTGGGAATAGCCCCAAATGTTTTATGCTAAAGTTCTTTTTTAATTGGACCGCAAACAGCTCTTCCTCTATTTATCTCCATTGGGAAGATATTTTTCTTTTGGCCCAGCATATAGTAAAGCTATAATGGGGGTCTAATCGGGGCCGGTCCTAGACTATTTTGCACCCTAGGCAAGACCAGCTACTTGCACCCCCTCCAAAAAAAACTTAACTTTTGTCCTCATTCCCCAGCAGACACCCCAGTGGACAGGCTAGCTCCATCCTGACCAGTGGACTGACTAGACCCATTTCCCCTCTGCAGACAGCTAGCCCCATTGTCCCCCAACATGCTAGCTAGCACACAGGGTCCATGTCCTCTCCATGGTGTCCCCAGCCCTTCCATAGCACACAGGGTTCATGCCCCCTCCAAGATATCCCCAGCCCTTCCCTGGCATACAGGGTCCATGCACTCC